GCTTTCTCAAATCCTCAATATTAGGATTTTTAGTAGGCATCAGGATTTGCCAAGAGGTAGGCTTCAATGGCTTTAAACATTCCCGAGGCCTTTTCTTTGCCTGCCTTGATTCCCTCTTCCTTGAGCTCAAAGTCTCCAATGGTGTAATACTTACTAGTAGTCTTACATATGGATCCCCCAGTTGCAGAGGGTTCTAATTTGGTCCCATAAGTTATTTTCTCAAGAGTGTTCAACAAAGCATCGCCTTCAATTATACTGTAACTATATACAAAATTTTCTTTGTCTAGTGCTTTTATCTTCTACTTTGCATAATTGAATTGGCTTCCTGCAAGAGGAAAGAAAAATATTAAGCTTTTGTTTCACAAATAAAAAAAGAACTTTACTTGTAAGTTCTAATTCAATAAATTATTCAAAGTGTTTAGTTACATATAAATTAACTAACCTTCTCCAAAAGTAACTTTCTTGATGCTCTCAGGCTCACCATTGCCTTCAATATACTCAACACTCTTAAAAGCCTGAGGAACAACCTTGGGAATGAGCTTGTCACCATCAAGGACACAAGCCTTAAACATCTTGGCTAATGGGATTGAAGTAACAACCTCATATTCATAAGTGAAAACACCCATGATTTTGTAATTTGGAAATGGTCACAAGATGAGTGAAAATGGAATTGATTGATATTTTGCAAAGAGATTTTTAAGGTGTGGAGATGTGAACCTAAAGCTGTAGTATTTATAGTGAAAGAATGAATATTAATCCAGAAATTAAACACCTAAAAAAACTTAAAATTGATTCTGGGTTTGTGTACTGATCTTACATATTCTTCATATTTGCAACAACCAAGCTTATCATAAAGAACCAAATTTAGGATCTTGAAAGCAATGCAACATTCGACAAGGATTAAAAGGAAAGAACTCTAATATTTTAAGCACAGAAGACCTTGGATTCAAATGCTTGGCCTATTAAGGAAGCTCATAGGTAAATTGTAAATATGTAAAATTATAATGATTAAATAAAAGATTTTTAAAGTTTAGATTCATTTGCAGCTTTTAGGCCATTTAGGTACTCATTAGTTCACAAATTGGTTAATTTTGAATCAAATTATCTAATCGAATTAACCAAATTATATTAATTTTAATTTTTATTAATCAATTGAATTTTTTTTATTTCAAAAATTAATCGCTCAAAATTAATTCAGTGAGTTAAGTTAATTTTATTAGTTAACTAATAATAAAATTTAGTTAAATTATATTGAAATTTAAACTAGGATTGAAAATGTTCAAATTAAACAATACAAAAGAGAGAAAAGAGGATGATGAACTTATTGTTTGAGGTGTGGGGAAGAAACAGAGAACTAAATGGTATTTACAGACTGCATTTGAGGCTGAAAATTTTAATTTCTTCATTTTTTTGTTGGATATATCCAACTAGTCACTACTTTTCAAAGAATTTGCAATAGTCAAAAGAAGCATCCTGCATTAGAACTTTTCATAGTAAATCTCCAATTGGTCATTTTTGTTCCAATTCCTTTGCTATGTATTTGCTTGATTTTTTTATTGAAACTTCTTACATATATACGTAGAAAGAAAAATATAGGGAATAATCAAATGTGCTAAGAAGGTACTTCAAATTTGACTAATTTACATGGATAATAATGTTTAATTAAGTACTTTTATTTTTTCCCTAAACAAATAATCAATCAAATTTCTAGCATTTATGATATTAATTGGTTTAGACATGGCTAAAATGATATAAAAATATATATATCTTGAATTTTATCATTCTATTTAAATAAGCTCCTATATTTTTATTATACTCAAATAAACTTTTAACTTTTAATTTGTATTCAAATAAACTCTTAATATTTAATTTATACTTAAATTAGTCGTTAACATAATACATAATAATACAAGTAAGACATTAGTTTCTCACTATCACAAATGCTTGAAATAAAACCTTTACTTATATAAAGATTTAATTTTTACATGATTAAAGAGAACTAAAAAAAGTTGCAATAGAAATTTGAAATAAAAATTTATTTAAAGATTTAATTTTTACATGATTAAAGAGAACTAAAAACAATTGCAATAGAAATTTGAAATAAAAGTTTATTTAGCTGTAAATCAAAATATAAAAGTTTATTTAAGTAAAAGAAAAATTATAAGAGTCTATTTAAATAAAATAATAAAATTTAAGAGTTTTTTCAATATTTTAATCTTTAGACATCTATAAGAAAAAAAGTATTGGGAATAGTGATTCAAATCTCATAACAGATTTGTTTGAGATTGATTAAATATTGCTTAATGAATAAAAAACTTACAAAAGAAGAATTCTAAAAAAAAAATATCTTTGATAGGTAAATTAATATGCTTATAAATATATGAAATTTCTATAGGTGTTATAACATATAGATCTGTAGACCTATAGCTAGACCTAATCTTAGGAGTCACCATTAATATTTTTTTTAAGGTATGATTGGTCACCTAACTAAATTTGTCTTTTTTTAAGGAGAAATCTCAAACTTAATTTAGATATCTTTAAAAAGTAGATTTTTTGTCTACAAAACTAAGACTAAATCCGGGAGTACAGTTATGTGTGAAAAAGATTATAGCATTCTCACAACACTCATCAAATAATGTTCTAGTTTGATTTCATATTATCCAAGCCTTAAAATGTGTTTGTAATTTACTTAATAAATTTAATATTAAAAATTATTCTTAAAATTACTCTAATCATTTGGTAGCAATTTAAGATAATTTTCTTATATAAAGAGTATTCATTGAGAATCGTGTCTCACTCTGGAGAGGCTACATCATCGAATTTATTAACATATTTTCTAAGAAATCATTTTTTTGAAATCAATCAATAAAATATTCCAATTGTTTGGTAAGATTTATAACAATGCATATCCCACAATCGTTTGGTGAGATTTTTGTTGAAAATCTATTTATGAAATTTTTTTTAAAAAAAAGTTATTAAATTCTCTAATAATTTGATAAAATTTAGCAGAAATTTGAATCCCTCAATTATTTGGTAAGATTATAAATAATTTTTTTCTTAAAATTCATCAAGAAATTCTCCAATCATTTAGTAGAATTCATAATTAAAAATTAAAATCCTCCAATCAATTGGTAGGATTAAAAAAAATTTTCTTTTTTTAAAATAAATAAATAATAGAATTTACAAGTAAAATAAAAAATTCAATTATAAATTAAAAAATAATTGAAATTTAAATAAATAACATAAGATAAAAATAAAAAATAAAATAATTACCAAAAAGGAAAGCTTGGATCAGCTTAGCTCAAAGGATGCAGCCCAAGACATAGAGGATTGCTTGAGGGCCATGGCTCCAAGCTCGGCTCTACTCCACGTCACGACTCAACACCTGCAATTAGAACATATCGTACACTATGAGTTGGGTTGGCACACAAATCTTGAAGGATTTTAATTGATCCAAACGACATCATTTTCCTCCAATATAAAAGCCCAAATTTTTTTTCTCAGATTTCCTTCGTCCCTTCTCTCTCTTCCTTATCTTTTGTCTGTCTCTCTCTCTAAGAGGCTATTGAATACCAGCTAGAAACCCTAACAAAACCTAGACCAGGGCAATTATTTCTAGAAAATGATGACAGAAACTTCAAAGTTTGTTGAGAAATTGATCGAAAACTTCAACAACCCAAAAAACTTCCTAGATTTTTTTAGAAACCTAGATTTTCCCTAAATTTGCCAAAAACCCATAGACTAAATTGATTCCCTTTTTTCTTGTTTTCCCTAAATCTAAACTCTCGTAAGTCTTCAGATTTCTTATTTGCCTACTGCTTGATTTTTCTTTATATCCCTCTCTATTGAATCTAGGTTTGTATTTATAAATTTCAAATTATAAGAACCTTAAACTAAAAAGAGTTTCAATTTTTTTTTAATTCAAACTTCAAACTTTAATTTAACCTAAACTTTATAATTTAAAGAAACAGTCCCAGACATATTCGACCACCCCCAAACTTTCTTAATTTTTCCTTTTTCATTTTTTTATAACATTTACTAAAAAGAAAACATATCAAATAGTTACAACTCCAGACAAATTATGATGTCTACAATAGAGTTAGGTATAAGAAAAATATGTAAGAGAATTATAAGATTTTATAGGATAGACAACCCATAGGACTACTAGAGATTTATGTCTTATTGGTGTGTATATTTGAATATTTGTGAGTGGACTTACGAAAACTGAGAGAGTGCACATTAATATGATGCATTAGTGCAGTATGTATTTATTTATGTTGACTCCATATAAGTAAAGGAAATTGAGAAGGTCTATGAGTATTAATAGTAAGTGAGAAAGATTTGATGTATATTTGTAATTCTTTATAACTATTAAATCTTTTCTCTCATCCATGAACGTAAGTTAGTTGGATCGAACCACGTTAAATTATTATTTCTTATATGGTTGCTTAATCGTTTGATTTTGCTTCCGCTGACTTAATTGGATTAGAACTTTTTGCCTAACATAAAGGAAAGTTGGATCAAGAAATAATTACATTTGACAGTGTGGCCTTTGATCATCAAAACGGACTGCAAATTTTCAATATAATAAGACAAAGGCAATTTTTTTCTTTAACAAAAGCAGTCGCAGTAAAAAGATAAGGAAAAATATACGAAATTTAAATTTTAAATTTATAGAATATTAAAAATAATTATATAAATTAAGTTAGTTAAACTCTGATTTTAACGAATGCAACTTTGATTTTCTAGTTTATTATCCTAAGTGAAAAGAAAAACTAAAAGAATATGTGTGTGTCTATATATATATATATATATATATATATTCCTGCCATTCTAAATTATTTTAGTGTTATTAATTTTCATGGAATTAAGAAAAAGTTTTGAATTTAGTGTATTTAATATTAAAATTAAATTTAAATTTAAATTTCATTCAAGTATCCTGAAAAGCAAAAGGGAAAAGGAAAACAAACGAAACATAAAGTCAAGATATGGCACAAGATTGGACGTCAATATTTATTGCCTTGTTCATACTACCTGGCATTCAAACAAAGAATTTTTATTAATCGATCTCGTAAAAGTTATCATGTAATTTTAATTTCAATTTAACTACAATCACGAATTTCTAACTTTTCCGACAAAATGTCCAAAAAGAACTAGTTTACGCGTCAGAATTAGTCTCACATTTCTTCTAAAACTTGACTTTGTTATGTTCAGGATATATAACTAGTAAATCTTGAAAGATGAAGATAATGCACTCATCATTTTCAATGGATAGCTTGATCGCAAAACAACTTTTAATTTAAAGCTAAACACATTCGACGCTCCTTTATTTATTACTGGCAGTTGACATTTTCAGTTCAAGCTTCCTGCTAGTCAGGACAAACTGTGAACTCTTATTAGCAATATGAAGGTCATATGGACCAACAACCGCTAAAACTAGAAACTAAAAAAAAAAAGGTACATATGCATTCCACATTGTATGATCATTGAAGTGGATGCTATCTCAAATTCTCAATATTGGGATTTTTAGTAGGCTTCAGGATTTGCCAAGAGGTAGGCTTCAATAGCCTTGAACATTCCCGAGGCCTTTTCTTTGCCTGCCTTGATTTCCTCTTCCTTGAGCTGTAAGTCGCCAATGTTGTAATATTTACTAGTAGTCTTACATATGGATCCCCCAGCTGCAGAGGGTTCTAATTTGGTTTCGTAAGTTATTTTCTCAAGAGTGTTCATCAAAGCATCTCCTTCGATTATACTATAACTATACACAAAATTTTCTTTGTCTAGTGCTTCTATCTTCTGCTTCACGTAATTGAATTGGCTTCCTGCAAGAGGAAAGGAAAATATTAGGCTTTTGTTCCACAAATAAAAAAAAAAAAGGAACTTTACTTGTAAGTTCTACTTCAATATATTATTCAAAGTATTTAGTTGCATGTAAAAATTAACAAACCTTCTCCAAAAGTAACTTTCTTGATGCTCCCAGGCTCACCATTGCCTTCAATATACTCAACACTCTTAAATGCCTGAGGAACAACCTTGGGAATGAGCTTGTCACCATCAAGGATACAAGCCTTAAACATCTTGGCTGGTGGGATTGAAGTAACAACCTCAGATTCATAACTGAAAACACCCATGATTACTTGTGATTTGAGAAATGATCAGAGGAGGGGTGAAAATAGAATTGATTGATATTTTGCAAGCAGATTTTTGAGGTGTGGAGATGCGAACCTGAAGCCATTGTATTTATAGAGTAAGAATGAAGATTAATCTAGAAATTAAGCACCTAATAAAACTTGCAATTGATTCTGGTTTTTGTACTGATCTTACATATTCTTCAATATGCAACAGACAAGCTTACTATAAGAACAAATTTATGGATCTTGAAAGCAGTCAAATCAGAAGACGATTAAAAGGAAAGAACTCTAATATTTTAAGCACAGAAGACCTTGGATTCAAGTGCTTGGTCTATTAGGGACTCGTAGGTATGTGGTAAATTGTAATTATAACGATTAAATAATCAGTTAATATTCTCTAAAAGGCAATAAAGATGTCTTTGTCAACTCAAAAGATTTATGAAAGAAAATATAATTTGCAAAACGTTGCAGGAAAACTGCAAAATGAATCCCAATATCAAGTACAACCTTGATTTCTAGTATATGTTTTTCCTTTCATATATATGAGATAATAAACTCAAACTTATCTTTTTATTACAGTGAAAACACAGATGATCATAGCCAGAGACCACCACTCTCACTACCCAAATGAAATGCCAAAATCACACCATTAAAACTTATTTGACATGAAGAACAGCAAGCAGGAGCTGATAGCAACCTAGTTGTAGAGATGAGGATTTGCCAAGAGGTAATCGTCATAATGTATAGATTTGTGGATCTATAGTTAGATATAGACTAAAGGAGTCGTCACCAATCTTTTTTTTTAAGGTGTGATTGGTTACTAGACAGAATCTGTCACATTTAAAGAGGAAATCTCGAGATTAACTTAGTTATTTTTAAATAGTAAATTCTAGTTCACGAAACTAAAATTTAGGTCCGAAAGTATGGTTATACATGAAAAAGGTTATAGCATACTCATAGCACCCATCCAAAAAATGGTACCAGTTTGATTTCAAGTTATCCAAATCTTAAAATATATTCAAAATTTATCAAATAATTTAATATTTAAAATTTTTCTTAAATTACTCCAATATGTTGGTAATAATTTAAAAATATTCCTTCATCTCAAGAGTATTTAAAGAGATTATTTGTTATACTTTGAAGAGGATCTGTGGTCAGATTCTTTTAATTTTACTCCTAGAAATAAATATCTATAAACCAAATTTATGACAAAAAATATCATCCAATCTGTTAGTAAGATTTTTTCTTGAAAATTATCCTCCAATCTGATGAGAGGATTTTTATGCAAAATAAAACAGGAAATCTTTTATTTTTTAAACTTGATTTTTTTGAAAATTATAAGACTCTCTAATATGTTGGTAAAACTTTATTTTGGAAAAATATTGGCCCTCCAATCTGTTGATAAAACTTTTTTTTTAAATAAAAAAAAGTTATAAGTTTTCTAATATGTTGGTAAAACTATATTTTTAAAAAAAATTGATTCCCTTCCAATATGTTGATAAGGCTTTTATTTTAATATTTTTTAATAAAAATATATTTAAAAATAATAGATAATCAAATAAATAAATAAAATAGCTAAATAAAAAAATTAAAGTAGTCTCAAACTAGAATAAATCCTCACAATTCTAGATTCTACAAAGAATTCCATAAAAAAACTTACTGCCAAAAAACATATCTTTTTTCTAAATGATGTTTCTTTCCCTTTTTTCTCAAGAGTTTTTGCATAATCATTTTCTCCATCCTTGTTCTTTGTCTACCTTAGAACAATTTACAAGGATTTTCTAGTCAAAAAATTTTAGGGTTCCATTGATTGTCAAGGATTTTTAAAAAATTTTAAAATCTCTTTAATTTAAGTAAAATCAATCTAACAAAAACCCTAGCTTCGATGCTCTATGATCCTTTTTTATTTGATTTCCTATTTCATGCCGGTTAAAAAACACCCAAAAATTCCTCTTTGCTCAATTGTTATGCAAGATTTTCAAAAAATTTTGTTTGATTTTCTTTTCTTTTCTTTTTTATTTATTTAGTTTTTATAAAAGAATAAACGAACAAATAAAAATAAAAATATTTGTTGGGGCAAAGCCCACATCAAAATAACATACATTGGGCTCAAAGCCCGACAATCTCAACAAAATTTAAACCAAGAATTTGGATGCACACCCCGAATGAAATGAGATGTCTACAGTTGCCTTCTTTGCACATTTTCACGAAATAGAAATGATGTAAAGACAAAAACAACCATTGAGTATGGTTCAACTTAAGCAATTTTAAAAGAATGTGATTTTCAAAAAAAATTTAAAAAGTTCCTCTAAATAAAGGCATAAAGCCTAAAAATTTTGATAACTCCTCTAAACAGAAGTTCAACAAATTAAACTCCTCTATATAGAGGCAAAGAAATCTAAATTAAGAAATGTGCTCTTCTATACATAAGCTAAACAACTTTAAAATAAAAAACGGGCTCCTTTATACAGAGACTGAGCAACTTTTAAATTAAGAAATGAGTTTCTCTATATAAAAGCTAAAACAACTTTAAATTAAGAAATGGGTTCCTTTATATAGAGGTTAAACAATTTTAAAAACTTTAAATAGAAAATGTCAAAACACATCCATTCACCCAAGTCCAGAAAAATTTTAGCTTGAAATCCAAATATTCATAACTTGAAAATTCAAGGGTCCACAAACTACAAAGATTCATAAGGTTCCATAAAAAATTTTGAAAATTTCCAATTCTCCAAAATTTGTAAAAAATTCGCAATGATTTCAAAATTCACTAAAAGTCAAGATTTGCAAAGGTTTGCAAGAATTTTAAGTTTCACAAAGATTCCAATAGTTTGTAAATGATTCAAGATTCTCAAAGATTCTAGATTCACAAAGATTTCAAGTTTCGCATAGGTTCCAATTCGTAAACATTTCAGATTCACAAAATTTTTCAGATTTTCAGACATTCTAGATTCATAAAAGTTTTACGTTTTGCATAGGTTCCAGATTCGTAAGAATTTCAATTTTTCAGAGGTTCCAAATTTGCAAAGGTTTCAAGTTTCGTAGAGATTCAAAATTCGCAATGTAGGCACCAATTTTGTTCTTCTTGTTATATTATTATATAATTCTATTATTATTATTATTATTATTATTATTATTATTATTATTATTAATCTTTAAAACAAAAGAAAAAAAAGTAAAAAAAAAGTCTTTGATTTCAACTTTAGCAGCTGAAATCAAGCTGCCAGACTGGTCCAAATTGCTTTCTGACACTGCTTAACATGGCAGCATGAAATCCAGTGACCAAAAGTCACCGAATGACACCCAAATTTTCCACAAAAGGATCCCATAATATCTAGGATCTTGAATCTCAAAAGCTCTATAAATAGAGCTAATCTTTGTAAAGAACAGATAAAAAAAAAAGAACAATAAGAGGGAACACACACAATCAAGAAAAGAAAACAACAGCAAACAAAAAAAATTTCGAGAATAAAATTCTCGATCTAGGAAGTTGTAGATTTTTTTTTTTTTTAAATCTGGGCTTGGAAAAGTGTTTAGAAAGCAAAAAAGATCATTGGGGGAACTTTTGAAAAAAAATTTGGGTCGTCGAAAACTGGAAAAGTTTGAATTTTTAGATGACCATTGAATTTTTCAGCACCAGAATCTGGAAAAGTTTGAATTTTTCAATTACCATTGAATTTTTTGACCACCAAAATCTAGGGATCTTTGAATTTTTCTGTGTCATTGAAGTTTTCGACCATCGGTGCACAGCGGCAACCGATCGAAAACTAGGCTCGAAGGCGACTGGCATAAGGGCTGGGTTTTCTAGAGAAATGAGCTTTGGGTAGAAAGAGAAAAGGAAAAGGAGAAAATAAAGAAAAAAAAACCAGAAATAGTCTTTTTATAGGCCTTTCAAAACGACGTCGTTTTGGACATCTATATCGAACCCGACCTACGCAGGATCCGTGCGCCAACCCGACCTATTTCATATTCCCAATCCAGACATTGTTATGGTTGCATATTCCCAATCCAGACAAAATCTATTGGCGAGGTCAAAAACTTAGATCTCGAAAGAAACTCGCTTATATGATGGAGGTCCCCACTCAGAATGTGAACTCATATATCCAAACAAAAGGCAAAAGTGATTGCATATCGTGGGAAATCTTATGTGATTACATCATCAAACACTTAGAGGATGAATGAGGAATGAGAATAATAGCTTTGGCAATTTATGGCTTGATCATCTTTCTAAAAGTCCTGGGGTACATTGACGTATCGATGATTGACTTTCTCGAGTAGGTGGATTTCACCGATGAGTCAGGATAATTTAAATTTTTTCTTATAAAAAGTAATTAAAGAATAAATAATATAAAATTTTAAAATAACCATAATATTTAGATTTTACCGAAGAGTCGGGATAATCTTAAAATTTGTTCAAAATTTTAGAAACTCACCAAAGAGTCGGGATGTTCTTAAAATCCTTTTTAAAATAAATAATTAAAATATCTTATGATGAAGTTTCAAGAATTTTGTGAATGGTCAATTTTTTCAAAATATTTTCTAAATAGTATTTTCTATAAATTCCACCAAAGTTGCAGAATTTATAGAATGTGAAATAATAATAATAATGTTAATTTCGAAACAGCAAAAAATGTTTTAAAATAAATTTGAGAAAATTAAACTTAAATAAAAAAAACTCCGTCATCAAAATTATAATATTACGCATGTTTAAATGGTACCGTTCTTCGAACGAGCAACGTGATGGTGCTAATACCTTCCTCACTCGTAACCATACTCTCGAATCTATTCTTGATTTCGCAGACTTAAACTTCTTTTAGTAAGTTTTAATTAATTTTAAAAATTTTACTAAAATATGATATTTTGGGTGGCTAATCACACCCTATAAAAAGATTGGTGGCGACTCCGAAAATTTTCACCAAGTCTAGCGATTGAGTCCCCCGGGACGAAAAATCATTATGGCATGCAAGAAATTCAAATTTGTAAGAATTTTCAAATTCATAAGAATTCAGATTTGCAAGACTTTAAAAATTCACAAAACTTTCATATTCGCAAGGAACTAAGTTTCACAAGAACTTTAGATTCGCAACAATTTCAGGTTTGTAAGAGCTTCAAGTTCTCAAGAATTTTAGGTTAGTAAGAACTTCAAGTTTGCAAGAATTTAAAGTCCGCAATAATTTTCAAATTCATAAAAAATTCAACTTTGTCATTGTAAAGATTCATAAACTGTAATGCCAATATTCAAAGATTCACATTCAAAGGATTTTCAATAATCTCCTATGAGATTACCATGTCAGTAAAGTTTTTAGTTGCATTCTCTATCACATTTTCATAATAGAGCAACTTTAAAGTACTTACAAATAGAACTATTATCTCTTTTTCGATCAATGGTGGCTGAACCTAAGCAGCTATGTCCTTCCACTATTGGGCATATTCTTTGAAAGACTCTGTTGCCTTCTTCTACAAGCTTTGTAAAGAAAAGCGATTAGGGGGCCAAGTTAATAATGTGGTGATGTTGGTTAATAAATGCCCGAGTGAGCTCGTACCAAGAGTGGATGTGAGTTCGATCTAGCTGAACATACCACCTTACAACTGAGCCAAGAAGGCTATCTTAAAATACATGCATCAATAGCTTTTCATCACTATTGTAAGCAGCTATTTTTTGATAATACATGGTGACATGAGTTATTGGACACTTACGACCATCGTACTTCTTAAACTCTGAAACTTTAAATTTTGAAGGAATCACAACATCTAAGCCCAAACAAAGGCCGGCAACATCCATGGAGCCATAAAAATCTATCCCTTCAACAACTAGCAGTCTCTCCTCGAACATGTTCATCTTGTAATCAACTTTTGAATCTTTCGAAGCCTCAACCATTTTCAATTTCTCTTTTGGGATGGCTAAATTAGGAACTTGGATCGATTCAACTGACTTTTTAGCAAAGGTAGGGTTGTTGTAGCTTTGGATATTCTCTTTGCTAGGTGCAAGTAGCATTTCTATAGTCTGTCGAAAATGCAAACTATTGTGATGGAAAGCTTGGAGTGAATTGGGTCTGATATGAGCTATGACTCGGAAGATATAGAAGATCACCAACATCACGTGAAATATCTTATCCTATCACCTTTCTTTTATTCAACTTGCCCAATGCTTCAAAGATTTTGTTCAGCTTTCCCTTAATCTCAATGTAAGATGTCTATTTCTTACTAATACAAATGCTTGAAGTAAAGCCTTTACTTATATAAAAGCTAATTTTTACACGATTAAAGAGAACTAGAAAAAAAAAATTGCAATAGTTACTTGAAATAAAAGTTTATTTAGTTATAAATCAAAATATAAAAATTTATTTAAGTACAATAAAAATTATAAGAGTCTCTTTTAAATAAAATAATAAAATTTTAATTTTTTTTAATATTTTAACCTTTAGACATCTATAAGGAAAAAAGAAAGGTTGGATCATGAAATAATTACATTTGATGATGTGGCCTTTGGTCATCAAAACAGACTGCAAAATTTCAATATATAATAAGATGAAGGCAATTTTTTCTTAAAAAAAACAATCGCAGTAAAAGGACAAGGAAAAATATCTTAAATTTAAAATTTAAATTTATTAAATATTAAAAATGATTATATAAATTAATTTAGTTAAACTTTAATTTTGATGAAGACAACTTTGATTTTTTAGTTTATTATCATAAGTGAGAAAAGAAAAACCAAAAGAGTATAAATATATATTATATATATTCCCTTTGTCCTAAATTATTTGAGTGTTATATATTGATTTTCATGGAATTAGTGTAATTTTAATTTCAATTTAACTACAACCATAAAATTCTAACTTCCGGACAAAATGTCCGAAAGGAACTAATGTACGTGTCAGAATTAGTCTCACATTTCTTCTGAAACTTGACTTTGTTATGTTCAAGATATGTAACTAGTAAATCTTAAAAGATGAAGATAATGCACTCATCATTTTCAATGGATAGCTTTATCAAAAAACAACTTTTAATTTAAAGCCTAAACACATTCGATGCTCCTTTATTTATCGCTGGCAGTTGACAATTTCAGTTCAAGCTTCCTGGTAGTCAGGACAAACTGTGAACTCTTATTAGCAATATGAAGATCATATGGACCAACAACTGCAAAAACAAGAAAGTTAAAAAAAAAAAAGGCACATATGCATTCCACAGTGTATGATCATTGAAGTGGATGCTTTCTCAAATTCTCAATATTGGGATTTTTAGTAGGCATCAGGATTTGCCAAGAGGTAGGCTTCAATGGCCTTGAACATCTCCGACGCCTTTTCTTTGCCTGCCTTGATTCCCTCTTCCTTGAGCTCAAAGTCTCCAATGGTGTAATACTTACTAGTAGTCTTACATACAGATCCCCCACCTGCTGAGGGTTCTAATTTGGTCTCGTAAGTGATTTTCTCAAGAGTGTTCATCAAAGCATCGCCTTCAATTATACTGTAACTATATACAAAATTTTCATTGTCTAGTGCTTCTATCTTCTGCTTCACATAATTGAATTGGCTTCCTGCATGAGGAAAGGAAAATATTAAGCTTTTGTTCCACAAATAAAAAACAAAAAGGAACTTTACTTGTAAGTTCTAATTCAATATATTATTCAAAGTATTTAGTTGCATGTATAAACTAACTAACCTTCTCCAAAAGTAACTTTCTTGATGCTCCCAGGCTCCCCATTGCCTTCAATATACTCAACACTCTTAAAAGCCTGAGGAACAACCTTGGGAATGAGCTTGTCACCATCAAGGATACAAGCCTTAAACATCTTGGCTGGTGGGATTGAAGTAACAACCTCAGATTCATAAGTGAAAACACCCATGATTTTGTAATTTGGAAATGATCAAAGGAGGAGTGAAAATAGAATTGATTGATATTTTGCAAAGGGATTTTTGAGGTGTGGAGATGTGAACCTGAAGCTGTAGTATTTATAGACAAAGAATGAAGATTAATCCAGAAATTAAGCACCTAAAAAAACTTAAAATTGATTCTGGTTTGTGTACTGATCTTACATATTCTTCAATATGCAACAACCAAGCTTACCAGAAAGAACAAATTTTTGGATCTTGAAAGCAGTCAACATCAGAAAAGGATTAAAAGGAAAGAACTCTAATATTTTAAGCACAGAAGACCTTGGATTCAAATGCTTGGCCTATTAGGAACTCATAGGTATATGGTAAATTGTAATTATAATAATTAATAAAAGATTTTTAAAGTTAAATTCATTTGCAGCTTTTAGCCATCAGGTATTCATTCAGTTAATTTGGTTAATTTTGAACCGAATTATTTAAAACCGAATTAACCAAATTATATTATTTTATTTTTATTAATCAAATTGATTTTTTTTTTATTTCAAAAATTAATCGACTCAAATTAATTCGGTTAGTTAGGTTAATTTTTAAGTTAACTGAATAATAAATTATATTAAGTTAAATTATATTGAAATTTAAACTAGGATTTTGAAAATGTTCAAAATTAAAAATACAGAAAGAGAGAAAAAAGGATGATGAACTTATTGTTTGAGGTGTGGGGAAGAAACAGAGAACTAGATGGTATTTATAGACTGCATTTGAAGCTGAAAATTTTAATTTCTCCATTTTTTTTTTTGGACATATCCAACATAGTCACTACTTTTCAAAGAATTTGCAATAGTCAAAGGAAGCATCCTGCATGAGAACTTTTCATAGTAAATCTCCAATTGGTCATTTTTGTTCCAATTCCTTTGCTATGTATTTGCTAGATTTTTTTATTGAAAATTCTTACATATATATGTAGAAAGAAAATTATAGGGAATAATCAAATGTGCTGACAAGGAACTTCAAATTTGACTAATTACATGGATAATAATGCTTAATTAAGTACTTCTATTTTTCCCTAAACAAATAATCAATCAAATTTCTAGCATTTATGATATTAATTGGTTTAGGTATGGCTAAAATGATAAAAAAAAAATTGAATTTTATCACTCTATTTAAATAAGCTCCTATACTTTTATTATACTCAAATAAATTTTTAACTTTTAATTTGTATTCAAATAAACTCTTAATATTTAATTTATACTTAAATTAGTCGTTAACATAATACATAATAATACATGTATGACGTTAGTTTCTCACTATCACAAATGCTTGAAATAAAACCTTTACTTATATAAAAAGTTAATTTTTCCATGATTAAAGAGAACTAAAAAAAATGTTTACAATAGAAATTTGAAATAAAAGTTTATTTGGCAGTATAGCAAAATATAAAAGTTTATTTAAGTACAAGAAAAATTATAAGAATCTATTTAAATAAAATAATAAAATTTAAGAATTTTTTCAATATTTTAACCTTTAGACATCTATAAGAAAAAAAGTATTAGAGAATAGTGATTCAAATCTCATAACAGATTTATTTGATATTGATTAAATATTACTTGAAGGATAAAAAACTTACAGAAGAAAAATTCCAAAAAAAAACAAGGATCTTTGATAGGTAAGTTAATATGCTTATAAATATGTGAAATCTCTATAGATGTTATAACGTATAGATCTATAGACCTATAGCTAAACCTGACCTTAGGAGTCACTACTAATCTTTTTTGTTAATGTATGATTGACCACCAAACCAAATTTGTCTCTTTTTAAAGAGAAATCCCAAACTTAACTTAGATATCTTTAAAAGGTAAATTTTTTGTCTACGAAATCAAGACTAGATCCAAGAGTATAATTATGTGTGAAAAAGTTATAGCATTCTCACAACGTCCATCAAATTATGGTGTCAGTTTAATTTCATATCATCTAAACCTTAAAATGTGTTTGTAATTTACGTAATAAATTTAATATTGAAAATTATTCTTAAAATTACTCTAATCATTTGGTAGTAATTTTAGATAATTTTTTTTACATCAAGAGTATTCATGAAGAATCCTATCCCACTTTGAAGAGGCTTCATTGTCGGATTCATTAACATATTTTCTAAAAAATTATGTTTTTGAAATTAATCAATAAAATCTTTCAATTGTTTGATAAGATTTATATCAATGCATATCCCTCAATCATTTGGTGGGATTTTGGTTGAAAATCTATTTAAGAAAATTTAAAAAGAAAAAACAAAGTTATAAAATTCTCCAATAATTTAGTAAAATTTAGCAAAATTTTGAATCTCTCAATTATTTGGTAAGATTATAAATAATTTTTTTTCTTAAAATTCATCATGAAATTCTCTAATTGTTTAGTAAAATTCATAATGGAAATTTAAAATCCTACAATCAATTGGTAAGATTAAAAAAATATCTTTTTCTTTTTTTAAAATAAATAAATAAATAGAATTTACAAGTAAAATAAAAATCCAATTATAAATTAAAAAATCATTTGAAATTTAAATAAATAACATAATATAAAAATAAAAATAAAATAAAATAATTACCAAAGAGGAAGGCTTGGATCGGCTTAGCTTAGAGGATGTGGCTCAAGGCATAAAGGATCGCTTGAGGGGCATGGTTACAAGCTCGGCTTGGCTCCACGTCATGGCTCAACACTTGCAACTAAAACAAATCGTACGCTATGAGTTGGGTTGGCATGTGGATCTTGAAGGATTTTAATCGATCCAAATGACATCGTTTTCCTCTAATATAAAAGCCCAAATTTTCTTTTTTCCTCAGATTTTCTCGATCCCTTTCTTCTCTTCCCTTTCTTTTGTCTATCTCTCTCTCTAAAAAGCTATTGATTACCGGCCGAAACCCCAACAAAACCTAGACCAGGGCAATTATTTCTGGAAAATGACAACAGAAACTTCAAAGTTCATCGAGAAATTGATCGAAAACTTCAACAACCCAAAAAACTTTTCAGATTTTTTCAGAAACCTAGATTTTTCCTAAATTTGCCAAAAAAACCCATAGACTAAATTGATTCCCCTTTTTCTTGTTTTCCCTAAATCTAAACTCTCGTAAGTCTTCAGATTTCTTTTCTGCCTAATGCTTGATTTTTCTTTATATCCCTCTCTGTTGAATCTAGGTTCGTATGTATAGAGTTTCAAATTATAAGAACCCTAAACTAAAAAGAGTTTCAATTTTCCTTTAATTCAAACTTCAAACTTTAATTTAACCTAAACTTTATAATTCAAAGAAATATTCCCAAACAAATTCAACCACCCTCAAACTTTCTTATTTTTTTTTGTTTTTTATAACATTTAATAAAAAGAAAACAAATCACACAGACAAATTTGGGTGTCTACAATAAAATTAGGTATGAGAAAAATGTGCAAGAAAATTATAAGATTTTATGGGATAGACATCCCATAGGGCTACTGGAGATTTATGTCTTATTGGTGTGTATATTTGAATATTTGTGAGTGGACTCACGAAACTGAGAGAGTGCACATTGATATAATGCATTAGTGCAGTATGTATTTATTTGTGTTCAGAATACTCTATATAAGTAAAGAAAATTGAGAAGGTCTATGAGTATTAGTAGTAAGTGAGAAAGATTTGATGTATATTTGTAATTCTTTATAACTATTAAATCTTTTCTCTCATCCATGAACGTAAGTTAGTTGGATCGAATCACGTTAAATTATTATTTTTTATATGGTTGCTTAATCGTTTGATTTTGCTTTCGCTGACTTAATTGGATTAGAACTTTTTGCCTAACATAAAGGAAGGTTGGATCAATAAATAATTACATTTGACAGTGTGGCCTTTGATCATCAAAACGGACTGCAAATTTTCAATATAATAAGACAAAGGCAATTTTTTTCTTTAACAAAAGCAGTCGCAGTAAAAAGATAAGGAAAAATATACGAAATTTAAATTTTAAATTTATAGAATATTAAAAATAATTATATAAATTAAGTTAGTTAAACTCTGATTTTAACGAATGCAACTTTGATTTTCTAGTTTATTATCCTAAGTGAAAAGAAAAACTAAAAGAATATGTGTATATATATATATATATATATATATTCCTGCCATTCTAAATTATTTTAGTGTTATTAATTTTCATGGAATTAAGAAAAAAGTTTTGAATTTAGTGTATTTAATATTAAAATTTAAATTTAAATTTAAATTTCATTCAAGTATCCTGAAAAGCAAAAGGGAAAAGGAAAACAAACGAAACATAAAGTCAAGATATGGCACAAGATTGGACGTCAATATTTATTGCCTTGTTCATACTACCTGGCATTCAAACAAAGAATTTTTATTAATCGATCTCGTAAAAGTTATCATGTAATTTTAATTTCAATTTAACTACAATCACGAATTTCTAACTTTTCCGACAAAATGTCCAAAAAGAACTAGTTTACGCGTCAGAATTAGTCTCACATTTCTTCTAAAACTTGACTTTGTTATGTTCAGGATATATAACTAGTAAATCTTGAAAGATGAAGATAATGCACTCATCATTTTCAATGGATAGCTTGATCGCAAAACAACTTTTAATTTAAAGCTAAACACATTCGACGCTCCTTTATTTATTACTGGCAGTTGACATTTTCAGTTCAAGCTTCCTGGTAGTCAGGACAAACTGTGAACTCTTATTAGCAATATGAAGGTCATATGGACCAACAACCGCTAAAACTAGAAACTAAAAAAAAAAAAGGTACATATGCATTCCACATTGTATGATCATTGAAGTGGATGCTATCTCAAATTCTCAATATTGGGATTTTTAGTAGGCTTCAGGATTTGCCAAGAGGTAGGCTTCAATAGCCTTGAACATTCCCGAGGCCTTTTCTTTGCCTGCCTTGATTTCCTCTTCCTTGAGCTGTAAGTCGCCAATGTTGTAATATTTACTAGTAGTCTTACATATGGATCCCCCAGCTGCAGAGGGTTCTAATTTGGTTTCGTAAGTTATTTTCTCAAGAGTGTTCATCAAAGCATCTCCTTCGATTATACTATA